GCCGGAGCCCAGCCGGGTCTAGGCGGCCCTCCCACCGCTCCGCCCCGCCCCGCCCCGCCTCTGCGCGCGCCAAGTTCAACTTGGCTGCTACGGCGCCTGGGTCTCCCGGCCAGTCTTTGGGCCCCTAGGCCCTGAGCGCCTGGAGCAAAGTTCTGCCCCCGCCCGGCCCGCGGGGAAGAACCTTCCCAACCGCCGTTTGTACTTCTTAACCTTCTCAGTTGAGGTACAAACAAATATGGCTACGTGCATTGGGTGCGCAAGTTTGATTCGTCTTTACGCATGTGCCATGACCTTTCACCACTGCGCAGATGAAGCCATGGAACCTTCCAGTTCCGGAGGCTCCCTTGCGCCTTCTCCTCTTTCCTCTGGTGCACCCTAGATGTTGTTTGTAACCGTAATTGTGTTCTGGGTCTGCACCCCGCCCCTCTCCCTCGTGTGCTCTTAGTCTGTGCAGGAGGTAGAGCTCATCACTGCCTGCTGGCAGCTTTCTGCTGGATCTGATAAAGAGCCAGGCCAGTGGTCAGACGTAGTGTCATAATTCACACACTCACTTCACAGAAAGAAACTTCTTTATTCTGATAAAGAATGGCTACAGTTAACACTGTGGTTAATACAGAGTATTGAGCCTCTACCCCCGTGAGAGATTAGGAATGAGACAAGGATGCCCAACGTTACGGTTTCCGCTCAACCTTAAGTCCTAGCCAGAGCAATAAGACAAGAAAAAAGGAGTAGGAAGTATAGAGATAGCAAAGGGAGAAGGGAAACGGCCGCCACTTGCAAGTGAGATGTTTGTATATGTGGAAAGTACAAAATCTACACGCACATTATTAGAATGAATAAACGAGCTTAGCAAGGTCACTGAATACAAAAATAAAAGTCGGTTGTATTTCTGTATACTAGCTACAGTAGTTTTATAAAACTCCTTAGTTTGGGATAATTCTGTGTCCGAGTGGCACAGACAGCACAGAGTCCCTAACATCTTACTTGTCCGTGGAACTTTGGCAGAGCTAAGAAGTTAGCGTTGACGAAACCGCAGACTTACTGGGTTGTGCCAGGTTTTCATCTGATGCCCCTTTTCTGTCCCAGGATCCCAACCCTGTGCAGAGCTGCATTTAGTCATCCTGTCCCTTCAGTCTCTCCTGGGCCGTGGCTGTTTCTAAATCTTGTTTTCCACGTCCTTGACAGTTTGAGGAGACGGGTCAGGTGTTTTGTGGTGTGTCCCTCAATTTGGGTTTGTCTGCTGTCTTCTCATGATTAGAGTGGGGTTCTGGGTTCTGGGACGAGACCCCAGAGGTGATGTGCCATCTTACTAGTTCGTGTTAGGATGCGTGACGTCGGCAGACTTGGGGCCATGATGCTGAGCCCCACCTCCGGTTAAGGTGGTGCCTGCCTCTCCCCACTGTCAGGTCACCCTCTTCCTGTCCTACCCTGCAGTGGGGGCCGGTCACCAGGTCCCCTGCCGCCCACGCTCGAGGGGGTAACAAACCACACCTCCACACCTTTGGGTATCTCCCAGTTCCTCCCGTTTATTTATTCATTCAGTTGTCCGTTTACTCCGGTGTGGACTTGTGGACGTTTGTCCTGTTCCTGTGTCACTGCCCATCACTGTCGTACGTGGGGGCTCAGACAGCCCAGCTCTGGCTGTGGGGAGTCTTCACAGCTCTTTCCGTTTTGTCCCGTGTCCTTTTGATGTGATCTACCCTCCCACCCCCAAGCCCTGCTTTTAGACTTCCTATCTCCTGGCTCATCTGGTACTTTCCCCACTCAAGCCCTAGAATCAGCCATTTCCTTTTCTTGGAGAATTGAATGGTATCTGGAAACCAAGATTTGGGTACAGGATGCAGCTGCTGCTATTGGGGTGTCACTGCTTCTGGGCCCGTGGTTCTGGGGGCAGTTTTGCTCCCCAGGGGACATTTGGCGATGTCTGGACAGTTGTTGGTTGTCACAGCTGGGGGCAGGGGGTGGTGCTGCTGGCATCTAGAGGGTAGAGATCAGAGATGCCACGAAACATCCTGCAGGCTCAAGGCAGCCCCACCGCAGAGAGCCATCCCCGACACATCAGCGAAGCTGTGACTGAGATCCTGCGGTGGCAGCCGGGAAGTGGACTCTGCGCACAACCTGTATCTCGGGTCCCTGACCGCCTCGCACCTTGGGCTCCATGAGATCCTTTCTCGGATGGTAGGAGGCCTGGCGCCCTCGTCTCCAACTGTCTACTCGCGTCCCACCCCCCAGCGAGTGCGCAGAGGAGCCTCAGAGGGCTGGCCTGGTGCCTGAGAAGCTGCTCCCAACCGGGTTGCGGTCCTCACTGCAGTTCTTTTGTCTTCAGCTCAGTCTCCCTTCAGGACAGCATTTCCCACGGTCACTGAGGTCCACCCTCTGGGGAGCGGGAGAGGCAGTGAGGAGATGCGGCTGCAGGAAGGTGGCAGCTCAAGCCGTCCCGTCCCAGGAGAAGTCCTGCCGTCCTTGCAGCAGGTGTCAGACAGCAGCCGGAAGGACACAAGCCGCAGGGGGCGGTGTGGCCAGCACCCAGCCAGCCCCTCGGCCACTTACCCCAGCACCACCGGCCACTCCAAGCCCGTGTCCCAGGTGATGGCCTCGCTGCCGGGGTCCCACCGGCCTTCTCCGGGTGTCGGGTGCTGGTGCCGGCCCGGGGGCTGCCTTGGGCTTGATCGCAGCCTGCCGGGCGCGGGGGACTGGGACCCCGTTTGTGGCCCAGAGCCTGGGTGCGCAGGGCTGGGCTCCATTCAGCGTAGGAGGGGCTGCGTGGGGTTGTGGGGTGCTGGCTGGCAGTTCTCAGAAAAACGTGTTGATGTGATAAGAGCTGGTGTAGTGAAGGGAGAGCCGGTCTTCCTGGTGCTTTAGTCGTGTCTCGGGAGGAAGAGGGCCCGGGGTCTAGTGGTTCTAAGGTGGCTGAGGACCCCCCGCCCCGGCCCAGACTCCAGAGCCACGTGACCACGGCAGCTACTGTCCACAGTAACACGACCCCACCATCTCCCCGTCTTTGTTGGTGTCCACCAACCCTCAGCTCTTCCGCTGGGACCCTTCCCGGTGGTGACCAAGCCGCAGGAACGCCCCAGCCAGCCCCCGGCGAGGATGAGCCGGCTGCTTGGCCTGTGGGCTGCGGACGAGGTCTGGGTGGCCGGACGCCAGGATGGGCAGGGCTTCTGGCAGACAGGCGCGGGCCGTGGTGCCCGGAGGCCTCGGGAGGTCAGCGACTGGGAGGTTGGCTGTCTCCTCCTCCAGACACCCGGGCAGCGGGGTGTCTGCCTGCTTACGGCCCCGGGTGGTGGGGTTTGGCCCTCTGCGCACCATCGGAGGGCATCGCAGTGGCCTGAGCCTCCTCGGCCCCTTGGCCCCTCCCGCCTTCACGAGCAGCCCTGAAGACGTCTTCGTCTGGCTCGAAGAAGCCACCCTGACCCACGAAGCAGGTAAACACCAGGAGCCCGCGAAGGCCATCTTGGTAGAAATGATTTTATTTAGAAACCGAAAGCACGCGTGAGGGCGACATGCAGACAGCCGTGCTGGAGCCGAAGCCTGGCCACTCCCCCAGATAAACCGTTACAGTTGGAATGTTTATTTGCGCTGGATGCTAACTTCATTTCAGTCTTCGTGGCGCTATCTTTGTTGAATTCAAATCCTGAAAATGTAGGAGTTGATCTGCAGAACCAAATTCTCATATAAAAGCCACGTTTGCAGGGCCAGGAGTGCCTCTCACGAAAGCGGGACGTAGATGTTGCGAGTGAATATGTGGGAAAACACACCTTGACAATAGAAATTCAGTGTTTTTATCACAGGTAGTGGTTTTCCTAGAAATACCATGAGCTGGCTGCGCTAAAGAATCACTAATTCTAAAACTTAAGAGAACAGTCTTGGGTCTTGCAGCGATTTGCAACGTTAAAAACGTTGGTGCCTGGGATGGTGCCAGGGCTCTAGCCTCCCTGCTGTGGAGGTGTGACGCTGTCCTGGTCCCATGCCCCTGGCCGAGCGCGGTTTGGAAACAGCCCTGGGGAAGAGCTTGGTGCCACCGAGGCAGCAGACTTCATTTCCTTGTCAGAAGGCGCTGGTGGCGGCCAGCCTCGGGAGCTAGGCGTGGGTGTGTGCATCGCATGCATGGCTGCTGAAGGAGTGGGGACCCGGCCATGCCCTGCAGCCCCCAGGCCCCCAGGTGGGGCAGAGGGAAGCTCTCAGGGCCCCTGAGGCTGTGTCTCTGCTTTGGAGCGGCTGTCTGAGTCCTGCATGCTTTGGAAGCAGAGCCTCGGCCCAGGTGTACCTGCCCTACCAGGAAGTGCTCTCGGTGGTGGGGCGGTGGGCACAGGGGCCACGGGGCACTTGGGAGCTGCCAGTGTGGAGCCATGAGGCACTCTCCGGCAGCAGGAGGCTGGGCTGGGACGGAGGCAAGGCCGGGCCTCTTGGCGGGAAGGGCTGCGAGGCTCTGGCACCCACACCTGGGCCTGGGTGAGCAGCCAGGGATTGGGGCTGGAGGAGGGGGAGGTCCGGCAGGGAGGGAGCCCAGGGTGGGGCTTGGGCCCCCGGGAAGCCTCAGGGGCCCCAAGAGAAGGTTTCAGAACCCCCTGGAATCTGTGGTTGGCAGGGGGGTCAGAGGTCAGTCTTGGCCCTTCGTTGTTGGGCAGACATACACCAGACTCGTGGGACTCGCTCAGTGGGCGCCTGGGTTTAAAGCCTGAGCTGGGTGCTGAATGGCCAGAGAATTGGGTGAAAAGCTGTTTATCTTTGAGAAATATAAATGGGTATTCGGCTCCTGGGGAGCTTACTTACCCTATTTTGGCTTAAATTTTAAATCTTTAAATTTAATTTTAAAATTCCCTTAGAAACCCCCCTCAGCCTCTCCTGGTGCCGTGTCTCGGGTCTGGGTCTGAGCCCATGCTCCCGCCCCGGTGCCCCTCCTGGGCCGTGGGGGTCCCTGTCTGACAAGCAGGCATGGCCCCTTCCACCCCAGGTCTGTCCTCGGTGTGGACCCCACGCCCAGCCCGCTGCCCTGCGCTACTGGAACGTGGCTTTCATTCTCCGCAGCTTGTCCTGAATCTTTCTGGAGTGCTTTTCGCTGGCCATCTGGTGGGAGCCAGCCCTGCTGTCCTCGGCCAGAATGGAGATGTCGGCCCCGCTGAATCTGGCGATTCTCTGCTTGAGGTGGGACTGCAGCTTGGGGTCGGGGGCGAACGTGTAGGGGTTCTCCTGGAACGCGTGGACCTGGCTCGCCACCTTGGCGATGTTTCTTTGTTGGGGGAAGAAACGAAACGTGAGTTTGCACAAGTCATGGGGGCAGCGTCTGCAGCCGGTGGGTTCCCAGCCTGCTGTCAGGCACTGTCCCGACCAGGCCGCATCAAAGTCCAGACTCCGAGGGACCAGTCCGCCCTTGACCCTGAGGAGGCCTGAGCGGCCTCCACCTGACTGCCATGTGGACGATGAAGTGGGGGGAGAGGGTGGAGTGGGGTGAAAGGTCGTGGGGGGGAGGGTCTCCCAGGAGACAGGGTGGCATTGTCCTGAGAGGCAGTGAGGGCCTGGGGCGCTGCGGAGGGACGTGGGCCTGGAGTGGCCGGCCCCAGGGTGGGCTTCCGAGGGCACCCCTGCACCTTCCAAGGCCAAAAGGAGCCACGATCGCCTTTGGCTGGGAGTGTCTGAGTCCCTGGCAGGGTCGTGGTGGTGGTCGCCACCAACAGCCCCCCAGTCTGCTCCTCCCAGGTGGGTCTGCAGGTGTGCCGGGCAGTTGAACGGTTGGGACTGACTATGAATCCTCTGGACAGCTCTACGGAGGGGCCCCAAGGGGGACAGCAGAGGTAGGGAGAGAGGGCAGGTGTGGCTCGGGGGGTCAGGGAGGGTGGTCGCACAGAGGTGGCGTTATGGGTGCGCCTGGATCTCCCAGTAGGAAGGGAGGTCACGGCAACCTTGGGGCAGTGTTTGGGGCCGCGGACGCTGGACTGTGCGAGTTGTTTACCCCTTGTTTGTGGAGAAGGAAGTGGCTAGAGGTCACCCAGGGGAGAGGGTGTGGAGGCCTGGGCTGGGGTGAGGGCTGCGTGAGGGGCAAGGCGGCCCAGGTCTCAGAGGAACAGGAGAGATGGGGGCGGCCCCTCACCTGGCTTGTTCACCTTTGGGCCCCTCACCTGGTTTGTTTCACCTGTGGGCCCCTCACCTGAGCTTGCTCCACCTGTGAGCCCCGTTGGTCATGGTGAAGCCCCCTGTCTCCAGCTGCTGGATGTGCATGGCCAGGAGGTGGGCTGAGGGTAGTGTGGGCTGGGTCCTGAAGCGCCGTCCTTCCATCAGACACAGGCTGTCGCTCTTCAGGAAGACCTGGGGCCCAGCCAGGGGCGTGGGCGTGGGGTGGGGGGGACGGACAGGTGAGAGGTCAGCCCAGGTGCCCAGCAGGGGCTGGCTCAGCCCGGCCAATCCCAGCTGGCGCCTGTGTTCCTGCTGCATGGGGGCTACAGCACCCCGATTAAGCAGCCAGTCCAAAGTGTACCTTGCCTCTTGGGTTGGGGAAAGTCCAGATGTCTAAAGCTTGCAGACACAAAAGGAACACTGACCCCCACCAGAAAGCCATGTGCTTCGTGCTGCTGGTGGCAAATTCCTCTCCAGAAAAGAGCCAGGTGACCCCACTGCCCAAATTAGACTGGGAGCTGGGCTGCCCGGCTGCAGGGACCCCTGGGTGTGGTGGCAGCCGAGGACACACAACAGTCCCCCCACCGGCGAGCGCTGTGTCTGGGGCCGGCTGCAGGCCGCTCCCGCCTCAGTCTGGGAAATGCCCCTCATCCAGAGGGCGTGTCCTCGTTTAGGATCTCATGAGGGGCGGCCAGGAGGCAGGTAGGTCGGCCAAGCTCAGGCAGGGCCTCAGGGCACCTGCACCCCAGGCTGGAATCACGGTCCTGGAGCAACCCTGCCACCTCTGCCCAGGTGAGCGGCCGAGGCCCCGGGGGAGATGATGGGGGGGCTGTGAGGTGGGCGCCACAATGCAGGATCTGCCGGGCGATCCCCTCCCCCCCCCCCCCC